CCATGCATCACGAAGTGACTCATCTGGCTCTTGGCGGAAGTGAGTGATCTCCCGCTGGATCTCTGTAGTCTTCGATGCCGGATAGTACCTGTGCACGAATTTGTCAGCCAGATCGTCCCAAGAGGTGATGGACAATGGGGGCTGGGTCTCCAACCACCTCTTAGCATTCCCCGCCAGAGAATGGTGGAAGAGATGAAGGCGGATTGCATCATCCGGGACACCATTCAGCTTGAACCCGTTCGTCAGCTGCAGAAAACGGGAAAGATGCACCCTGGCCTCCTCATCCTTCAAGCCATGGAATTGGATAGAGGATGTAATGAGCTGAATCCAGCATGGCTTGATCTCGAAGTTATTTGCTGGAATAGGCGGGTAGAGGATGACCAGGCGGATGTCAGCAATCCGAGGAGTGTAGTAGTACTCCAAGGTGGGACCCGGCTGCGGTGGATGATGAACCCCATGATCCTGGGGTATGGGGTTGTTCCCCAGAACCTGATTCACCGGGGGAACCTGCTGCTGATTCCCCTGGTGTTGATTATAGTCTCCGTCCATCCCGTGCTCTTCTTCAGAATCGCTACTCAGGTGGCCGTCTATGCGCTCTTCCGTAGCCAGTCTAGCTCGCTGTTGTCTCCTGAGCTGGCGACAGGTGCGATCAATCTCTGGATTCAACGGCAGTAAACCTCCTGACTGGCTACGGGTCATGCACTACCTTCACACACTCAAGCAAGCAAACCCGTGAAGGCACAAGTGGGACAAAGCAAACAAAGCAAAAAGAAAAGCTAAATTAACAGAAATCACTTTTCTTCAACAACCTAGCCGTCCCCGGCAATGGCGCCAAAAACTTGACTCACTTCTACTGTCACTCCAGGAATTGGCCAAGTGAAACCACTTCCTAAAGCGTAGTATAGCGGGTTTGGTTTTAAATGTCAACCCGGGTCCTAGATTTGATGACTACTCGGTGAATTCTTGTTATCTAGCAATGAAACTATAATGCAGGTCTAAACTAACAAACAAACAAAGCAACTAAACGGTTGTATTCTAGTTAAGAGAGGTCACCCGGATATGGTTCCCCCTAGACTGCAGTTAAGCCGGATTGTAATTACCAAGTTCAGTTTCTATGATAGTTATACTGCGGAAGGTTCTTAAACAGCCTGAAGTCTCGACTAAAGGTCTTCAGACCCTCTCAATATGAGTCTCTAGCGGGCGACTAACCTCCACCGGAGTAAACAGATTGAGGCCTTAACAAACAAAACCTCCACTACCGGAGTAAATCCGGTACAGAATAGTGAGTTGGCTCCTCGACTAAAGTCACCAACTCCCTACCTTCAATCAAGGATGCTCTATCAACCTAGGCAGATATTCTCATTCTAGGTTAAAGCAGAAACAACAGGTTGTTTGATCAGGATTCAAGTCATTCAATCATTCAAACCTCAATCGAATATAATCAAATCATAGAATCAGTACTTGGGTTCATACAATCAAAGCCTAACATACAAATCTAGGGTTCTCCATACCCAGATGAATGGGAGAACTACTCAATGGAGAAAGAAGCAAAAGCAGAATCAGATGCGGAATTCATACTGTGAAGGATGGATTCCTGCTCCTGGACGTTGATCGGCACTTCTCCAAGCTCAAACTGGCCTCCAATGGTGTTTAAGATCAAACTAGGGCACTTGGAGACTCTTGTTCGTCACTTTCTCTCTCTAGGAATCACTCTGTCTCTCTAAAACTCGAATCCCCTTCTGTTTTGGCTGAAATCTGCTTAAAAGGGCATCAGTGGCCAAAGCACGGTCGAGGGCACGGCCGTGCTTTGCCTCAGCCCGCACGTGCTTTGGCTAGGGTTAATTACACGGCCATTGTGTTGGGAGAAACACGGTCGTGCTTTTGGGAGGATACGGCCGTGCTTTGGGTGGACACGGTCGTGCTTTCAGCCCGTGTAATCAGCTCATGTCTGCCAACTCGAATTAGCTCTCGGCAGTAAAAGCACGGCCACAGAACACGGTCGTGTTCTGTTTTAGGTGTGCCCGTGTTTTGGCTCCAGCTCGACGAAATGACTTCTGAATGCCCCGAAACTCGTGCCTAGCCTTTCCTTTGACGCCTGGGACCTGAAATATGACAAAATAGCACAACCCGGCGTAATATTGGCCAAAAATACACGACTATGCCCCTCAAACGGATAAGAACTTGGGGCGCAAATACGTGCAATTACATCGTTATCAGTAGCTCACCCAGCCTGGCCGTGTGAAGCCTCGCAGAATTCCACACGGCCAAACTGCAACTTCACATGGCCGTGTGGATTTTACTTGTGCCCGTGTGAAGGCTCGCACAATCCCACACGGCCTCCTTGGTCACTTGCACGGCCGTGTGAGTTGTGAGTGTGCCCGTGTGGCTTCCTTTGTGACTTGCCTCACGCCCGATCTTCGTCCAATCGACCCCGAACTCGCTCCTAAACCTTCATTCACTTGCTAGGACCTGAAATATCTCAAACAAACACAACCTAGCGTGAAATCGGCCTAAAACACGAGAATCAACACCTCAAACGGCTCCAGAATAGGGGTAAAAACATGTGCAATTAACGGTTTATCAGCAAACAACATATCTCCCAGGTTAGTAATCTGGAAGCCTTTTTTCATATTCCATGTCTTAGCCAAGGCTATTTTCAATGATTTGGTGTTTGGTTGCTTGTCAGCGAGCAATCGACCAATCAGGCCCAGGTGCCTAACAGCTTCCATTCGAACAACATCTACATCACCATCCTCGACGTCCAGGGGTGTGTCACCCTCATCCTCCCGGGTGATTGAAACACCCTAACCCGGCCGGGTACTACTTTTACTAAAATGTCATTGATAAATAAAATACTAAAATCTTAAATTGCAACTGGGAAAAATTTTCATAAATAAAATACCGAAAACACACTTTTACTAGAAAAGCCCTAACATGTGGGCAAATTAAACTCAAACTTTAAATTCTCAATCTGATCTCCAGTCTATACTCATAATCATAAAATGCAAACAACTAGGTAGTCTCTGTCGTTGCTGCTACTGAAAATCTTAACTAGGCACCCTCCGTGACGCTTATACTGCTCTCCTCTAGCTGGCTGTCCTCGAACTCGCTGCCCACTAAATGTTCCTCTAGCTCTTCCTCTAGCTCTTCAAACTGGTGAGTGAGATGGGATCAGTCTACGCCCTTACGTTAACATCTTATTAATGCTTGATCACTTTACTTAACTGAGTGGAAGTTGTTTTGTACTTCCACTATTAAAAAGCTTAACTCTTAAAACTGAATGAGAGTTACTGTTACTCCACTTTTAAATCTCAAAGCTTGACTCAAATACTTGACCGACACTGGGATCCCTCACTAGTTAGTTCGATTGCCAACTCATACGTATGAGAAGCCATCAAGGCTTTCCTTAAACTTAAACTTAGTTAGGGAAGTCGTAACGATTCATCCCCCTAACATCTTAAACTTATCGTGGTGGCTCTTCACCACGATTCTCAAGGGAATAACTGCTGCCCATCTTAAATGTCTCAAGAGCATAACTGCTGCTCTGCCTCCAAGATCTCAAGAGCATAAGTGCTGCTCTATCTGAAAATCTCAAATGGCAACGGACTGGCGCTAGTGACTAAAAACACTTAAAATAACTTCACCTTCTTGAAGGTGAGTTACTCCTTAAAAAGAACTTGTTCTTAAACTTCAACAATAACTCATACTCGTAAAGTTTCAAAGTAAATAATAAACATTCACTTCACGCATAGCTCAAACAAAATCACATACCATCAACCATAAGCACAATCAACCACGACAATCACTTCATCAAAACACTTAAGGCTCAAAATACTTGAAAGAACACATAAGGCGTAGAATTTACCCCTTTACACTCACCTGATCGTTCAAGTTGATCCACTTGGCTTCACGATTAATTAAGAATGCTTCTCAAGGTTCGTTCCTCCCCCGGTAGCGTGGTCTCGTACTCCCCATTTCCTTATACATTACCGTATCCTCCAATTAAAAGTGAGCACAAAAGTAGATCGTAACAATCTCAGTTCCTATATGGCTGCCAAAATATATGGTCCCATGAACTAATTTCCCTACTGTGTTTCATTTCTTCCGTTTTATATGATGAGACACATTCCTCAACGTGTCTATTACCTAGGTCCCCCACTTAGCTTCCTCAAACCTCCATGCCACCTCGTTTACCTAGTTGGACACCTATGTTTACAATTGCTTTAACAAGCTGAATTGTGCACTCATCCATGATCAGTACGTGTGCCACCTAAACACGCACCCAAGTTTATATAATCACTTTCTCCTCCAGAAGATTCGATTGCCATGAAGAGTTAACATTCCACCATCATGAAATTATGAATTTACCAACGACTACAAAGCTATGCCCTTGATCCAATACGCAACTATTGTGAACCCTATTTTCCCCTGCCCAGCCAAATCTAGAATTATGTAGACCAAGGTAATTCACTTACCTCTGGTTCGTGGATGATTCTGTTGGCCGGCGCCCTGCAGAACTTCGCCGGGTACTTCCTCATGTGGGCCGTCGAGATCCCTCCGCCGCCGGTGCCTGTGATGTGTCTGTTCATGATCTTGGCCGCGCACACTCAGAGCTTCTTCAACACCGCCAACGTTGTCACCTCCGCCAGGAATTTCCGTCAGTACAGCGGCACTGCCGTCGGGATAATGAAGGGTTTTCTGGGTCTAAGTGGAGCAATGTTGGTGGGTAGTTATCATAAATGGTCACAATTCTATTAACTTTGTACAAAACGGTCACAATCCTTTAATTTTGCACGTTTCGGTAAGAAAGGTTTGAGCGAATAACGAAATGGTCAATCCGTCCAATTCCGCCCAAAACTCCATCCCAAATCGCCACATCAGCATGCCACATCATTGTAAATAATAATTAAAAATGAATTAGTCAGTCCACTTAACCAGAAACTCCAACCGGTCGAAACCATCCTTTACCCATCACAAACCCGGATCATATCTTCAGTTTGTCATTCTTCATCCCCAAAATCGCAACCTCTGATCGGCCATTCTCCATAACTAGGCTTCGCCATTGAAGCCAGTTGTTGGTAAGGCAAGTAATACGCAAGAGATGGCAAGGCCAGACCAATCCAGTTCTTCCATGTGAAGCTCGAATGGAAAATAAGCAGCCTCACCACTACCTATATGGCCTGATAAAACACACCACGAGAAATTCCCCAATTCCACAATTCAGCGACTGCAATTGAGTAAATTAAACAAATCCCATTTCAAAGATGGGTGCTTTATCGTGTGTTGCTTACATTGCAGGCGATGATGATGCGGAGGAGATTAGCCATGTGGTGGGCGTTCTCTTCCTTGCGCTTCTTAGCTCCCTGATTCGCCATTTCCTTCTACTCAGCAAAACCCTAAAATTCTCCCCCTTTCTCCTAGAACTTCCCTGATTGCAAGCTCAGGGCGATTGAGTTTTGCTTCTTCGAGCTAAGTTAGTGGCGAACTATGGAAAAAGCCGTCGGAAAAGAGTGAGTGGAGTCTGGATGGGAGTTGGGTGACAGAAAATTTGAGCTGAAACTGCTAAAGTTTACTAGTTTAGAGCTTTTTCTTTTCTCTCTCTCTCTCTCGATCTTGTTGTATGAGCTGAAAATTTTGATAGGTGGAGAAGACGAGAGAGAGCAAGAGCGCCGTCGTGGACTTCTGGGCTGGCGGGATGACTTGGCGACGACAGAAGAATCGCGACCAATCTCTACAGTTCGGCCGGCGAAGAGGATTATGACGAGAGGATTTGGGGGTTGGTGATGGCGAGGAGGACTTGGCGAGGAGAACGTCTCCCACGATTTGCAAAGAGGATGATGCCGGCGAGGAGGACTTGGAGACGGCGCCAAATCGCTCCCACGAGTGGCGACGTTCTGTCTCTTAGGGCGCCTCCAACTCGCGATTTTGGGATGAAGAATGACAAACTGAAGATATGATCCGGGTTTGTGATGGGTAAAGGATGGTTTCGACCGGTTGGAGTTTCTGGTTAAGTGGACTGACTAATTCATTTTTAATTATTATTTACAATGACGTGGCATGTTGATGTGGCGATTTGGGACGGAGTTTTGGATGGATTGACCATTTCGTTATTCGTTCAAACCTTTCTTACCGAAACGTGCAAAATTAAAAGATTGTGACCGTTTTGTACAAAGTTAATAAAATTGTGACCATTTATGATAACTACCCCAATGTTGGTTCAATTTTACCAAACCATATTAGATAACAAACCAGACTCGTTTCTACTGATGCCCTTTTGCCCACTCTCAAAACGTTGTTACTCATGTGGTTTGTGAGAGTCCACACTAGACAGGAAGAAGATGAGAAGAAGCGTCTTGATGGATTCTCATTGATTGCAGATTGGACTCGGTGGCGGTGGGGTGCGGCCGTTTCTAATTCTTGGCCCTTCCTCGATCACAAATGCCGCGAGGGTTTTTCCATTGGGGTGAGCCCGAGTGAGGTAGGATAAAAGTCTAGGGTTTTAGGAGAAATTTTACAATGCTATATAGTGTTGGTGCTATAGGATTTTGCCTTTCTGGTACAACTTAAAATTTTACATTTACATTATGGTACAACTTCAGATTGTACCTATACTTTTTGTACAAATTCTTTTATGGTACAACTTGAACTTGTACTTTTATGTGATGGTACAACTTCGAGTTGTAAAGTTGTACCATAACATAATGGTACAAATTGCTTTATGGTACAACCTAAACTTATATATTTAATGTTATGGTACAACTTTAAATTATACATTAAAGCACCAATACTATATAGCACAGTAGAAGTGCTCAGGGTTTTAGTTAGTCCAAGGTTATTAGTGGAAATTCACACTTGTGGGTGAGTTTAATCCTAAACTCAATTAATGCCCGTAACTTTCTCATTTTATGTCGAAATTTGACACCGCTTAAATCGATAGTTCACATTTTTAATCCTCATCGATAATACGGTGAACTTGACCCAAGGGTAAAATAGTCATTTTGACTTTTGGGAAGAACGGGGTGTAACAGTGATTTTATCCAGATCTCTTTCCAAGCTCTCAGCCGTACTTCGTAGCTCCTCAGGTTCCAAGTTGGAACCCTCCTTCCCGTTTCCAGCAGGCAGCATCACCTCCATTGTTTCACTTGATACTCAAGTAGCAAACCAATTGATTTGCAGTAGTTGAAACTTAGGGTTTAGTATTTGCTATCATTGCATTTCTATCTCCATGATAACTCCACCAAATCATCTTTATATAGATCTAAACTGCACCGCTATTGAGATGTAACTCCGCTAAAAGGATCTCTAGTCCTTTTCGAAGAAGTAATCCTTTGTCAATTGGAAATCAATCACCAAACTGGCCTCGGAAAACCTAGGAAACCTAGGTACCGCCACTCCGCAACTCTCGCTAGACGAGAGAAAATTCCATATGACTTTTTCAACGATTAGATTGCCACTGAATCTCCCTTAAGAACTTATTGGGAGTTTTGATCCTTTTATTTTCATATTTTCATTGTTTTAATTGTAGTTTAATGCTTAATTATCTTTCAAAATAGAGTTATATGTATAATATGTCCTTCTACTATGTCGTTTTATCAAATATGCTCCTCTACTATTTTTTATATCAAACATGCCCCATGTACTTTGGAAAAATGATCAACCATGCCCTTTTGTTAAAATTTTCATCCAAAAATCGTTAACCAAGACCAAATTTTGGTTTGGGTGACACAAATGTCTAAAATATCCCTAATAATTTCACTTTAGAAATTTTTTTTGGTTCTTTTGTATAGCCAAATAATCTAATAATTTTACTTTGACAAGACCCAAAGAAATAAAACAGGGGTCAAAACTAACATTTTCCTCCTATTTGTTGATGACGGGTCGTCTAAATGTCGGTTCAAGCATGATTGATATTTTTTCCAATGAAATTTTCAATAGAAGGGCATGTTTGATAATTTTTCCGAAGTACAGGGGCGTGTATGATGTTACCAAATCTTAAAGTTATGGTTTTTCTTCAACTTGTTTGGAGCATTTCATATATGCTTCAATTGTTCTCTTTGTATAGTTGATTCTCAGAAAAATAAAAGTATCTTGCTGATTTGTGCTTGATTGTAGTTAAATATAGGGTTCTACTCCCTTCTTCAAATCCTTCAGTTTAGTTGTTGGCTCCTAGCTCATCAGGCTGCGCCCTCTGGCTGTTCATACAGAAGTGGGTTATAGTAACTCTCCGTCAGTTCAATATTATTATTTTTCAACTGTAATCTATTTTTTTGCTTAGAAATAGTGTGAACATTTGACACAATACATAGTTTGGTTACTTGATTACTATTCAAGTGGAATTTATCTAGCTGATTGGCATTCATGTAGTTTACTGGTATGAAGTTTCTTCTCTTTGAATTACAAAAATATGCATAGGCGGGTATTTGAAGAAAACCCCCATTACTTGAGCTTATCCCTTTTGCTCATCTGCAAGTGGTTTTTTTTTTGTTGTCCTTCCTAGAATGTATATGATTAGGTTGCTTTTCATATCTGCCAACTTTTGAGGGTTTGAGGAGAAAATTGGAATGTCATCAACCTTTAACTTATATCATATCAATTGTTGGAATGGGAAATATGGGTTGTCATTGACATAAGGTTGAACGAATAAGCCTGCTCATATATGATAGTGAATTTAGATCCAAATTGATTGATATTATAGATAAAGTGATTCATCAATGGATTAGATAAAAGGAACCATGAACCTGAGATATCAGAGTGACGAACCTTTTTAATACTTTGTGTGTTTGTTATTTGACGTTTTTCACAGTAAAATTTATTATTGGCAATAGCTTTGTTATGAGCGTTTAGAAAAATAGGGCTGAAAAAAGGAACCTTCAATTGGAAAGAGCTTATTAGACCTATAGTATGCTTTACTGCCTTGAAAGAGCAATTGATTTTTTGTTGTATATTTTTCCCGTCAAAATGTGTTTGCTTGAAAACAGTTGTGGTCATTCTGCCATTAATCACCTCAGATCTTTTGTGGTTTGCCTACGATTCGCATACTCTTAGGGAGCAGTTATATGGGAGCTAGGCCGAGAATTATTTTGAATTCATAGAAGATGGTTTGTTTTGAAAAGGGGCACTTTGCACTCTTCAGCGCTTGTCTTCTTTTTTGGCTTGTATGTTTGGGGTGCCTGCTTATGTTTCATGATTTACTTTGTCCTTTTCTAATTTTTGGTTTAATAAAATGATATCCCCATTAGAAAAAAGTGTTTAACTGAGGTATCGCGTTGAATTCCGAATTTGTTATGAAGTGTTTCTGTTTCATTTGAGTTCATGTCTGCATGTTCTTGAGACATATGAGTGAATTCCAAGAATTCTCTGTCAAGTGTTTAACTGGGGTAGCACGTTGAATTCATTATTCCATTGATGTGTTTCTGATGCATTTGGATTCTAATCTGCAGGTACTTGAAAAAGAAGAGTGAATTCCAAAAATTAGAGCTTGAATGGTTCACCAACGAATTGCAAGCTATGGCAGTGGCTGCTAAGGAATGAGTCAAGATTATTGTTGTCCAATGTCATAACATCACTCCACTGTATAGGTTGATCGAGATTGATTGTGCATTATTCGACTTTACATTTCAATGATATGATTCCATATTGAGTTACTCATGAGAAATCAAAGAAGTAAGGGTTGTCAAATCCAACTGTATGCTCTAATTCAACCAAACAAATGTATTCTTTTTAGGCTAAACATTTAGTATCATGAAGCTACGTTCGTTTTGCTTATTATCTCTACAAATGGTGGATGCTCAGGAGACAGAGACCTTAGAAGAAATTGCCACTTTAGCAAGTTAATGTAGAATTTTAGATGTCTCGTCGAATTTGAACTAGCAAGCTCTTTAAGATATTGGGTTAGGATATAGGGAGAGATAGGTAGATAAAGAGAATGTAATTAGTGGTGGGAGTTTAATCATTGATGTGTTTAAGGACTATTGGTTGGGAGGCATTCATTAATGGCTTGCTTTATTCCCATTGAGAGTCTAGATGGATTGCATCCCTTTCTTCCATGATCTTTTTATCCATGTTTAGGAAGCATAATTTCGAAGTGTAATTCTGTGTAGTTTATGAATCAAGGAAGGTTGATATTATTTCTGCAGAATCTTGGAAAGAGGTGTCATCTCTAACATTTCGTAAAATTGTATCAGGCAAGAACAATATCGAACTCTTGGAAAAGTGAACTTTATATTAAAAGTTGTATTGACTATTTTGGTAGATTATAACCACATTAATCTAGCAACTCAATTTCTCATATTGAGCACTCTCCAACTTGCTTGATGGTTTACAAGTCACATCAACTTTCGTATCGGCGTTAAATTGATTTTGTTTGTTTGATTACTCTCATTGCCTACTTCATGATCGAGTTGTTAATTGAAAACTAGATAAGCTCGCTGCGCTTCGCGACGAGTGAAAATAGCAATGTAAATGTGTCATTCTGAAAGAATGAGTAAAATGTAAATCATACAACTTAATTCTTGGAGTACTGAATATGTAGAAGTTATATAGAATTATTAAATTAGTATTTATTTTTGAAACTATTATGAAATAATCATATTCATATCTTTGTCTAAACAATATGGGATTGGTTCTTTGAACATTTTGGTTTGGCAAACCGCTAAATTGTAAACCTCTTCCTATTCTTACATGATTGGACCCGGCAATCAATTGAGTTTAATAAATTGGTTTATTTCAAAAAAATTAATGTGTTAATGAATTTGTAGGACAAGGAAATGTCTACATACACACTCTACAAAGTATATAATACTGGAATGAGAAAATAATTCTCTCATTTCAAATTTTCTACAACGAGAGCGAAAGTAGGAATAATTTTATTGCTTCACAATTATTTATCTTTATTATTTATTAGAAAATAGGCAAGTATTGGATTAAACTAATTTATCTTCAAACAAAGACAAGAGTCATAACTTAGGTCACATAATTCGTGGGCTTGGGCCCAGCATTCCCGCTTTGGAGCGGCAATCCGCGAATTTGGAGAGGAGCGCAAAAATTTCGCGAATTACATTTGTTGAGAGCGCGAATTTTATTTGGAAAAACGCGACTCCAATTAACCTGCTCAGCGATCGCCTTCATACCCCTTCTTCCCAACCTTCCGACCTTCCCTCTTCGATTCCATATCCAGCACACACAGAAATTCAGAACCCACGGCTCAATTCTGCGTCCCCATTCTAAGATTCCACCGGAGTGAAAGATTAGATGCAGCAGCTCGTCGGCAGAGTGACGGATGTGTTGCTGATGTAATTGGAGCAGGGGATCAGTTTCAAGACGAACGACGGGGTGTTGTTGTCGCCGCCCTCTGCTTCGGTGACTTTGGTTTCGGTGGTGAGAGGAGGACAGCTACTCTAATCACCGCCGCAACCGATAATTTTGCCCTAATTGATCTCCAATCCCATCAATATTTAGTCAACCTCTTTCTTCAAAATTTCGAGCGCGTGATCTTGGCTCTCGATAATCTGAAGCAATTCCTCCTTGGTGAGCGCGGCGCCTTCTGCTTGCACGCTCTCGTCAACTCTCGGGCTCCCTTTCCCCCCATGCTCTTCCGCTTCTTTCGTCACCTCCGTCCCCTGTTCATGAGGCTCAGCCCCTCCGTCCTTCTCTCCTAATCCCACAGTCTCCATGCGCCCGATGGTTATACCCCCCTTCCTGGCGCGCCAATTGTTTATGCCTGGTAACCTCCCTCGCGTACTTCACGCCTCGGATGCTCTCCTTCTCCGCGCGGCCTTCCTTCCTGCACTCACCCAAGCGCCTTGCGGACCTAGTTGGTCCGTTAGCACTCCAACGCTCAAGTCAGAAACTACTTTTTAGAGAGAGAAGTGATAGAACGATTCTAGTAAGAGAAGCAAAACTGAGTAAATGAGGTTCACCTACTCGACTATTTATACCTGAGGCGAGATCGACCGGTACACGTCGCTCTCGCCCTGTGTCAGACCCGCCATAAATGCATCGTACACCCCTGGCTCATGCGCCTCGACCATCTGGCACGTTGGTCAGAGGTCGAAGGCGCATGACATCATCTCTTCAGCTTTTCGTACACTTCCGACCGTTGTTCGCTTTTGTCTTACACGCCCTTCGCCAAGGGCCTGGTCCCACCTGTCTCTCATGCTGTCTTCAGCCGCCCAGGCTCAAGTCTGGGCGCCCTTCGGCCCAGTATTCCTGCCCTCATGGGCTTTCTCTGTCCCTTTGGTTGGGCCCGTGCCCCCGGTCCATAATAACTCATTTTGGGCTTTTCCTTTCTGGGCTGGCCCATGCTCGTTCCCCCAACAATTGCCCCCCAGTCAGGCGCCTAACACCCCAAGTTAGGAGCCTGACTGTGTCCCTTCTTTTTCTTCACCCCTACTTGGACCTGCGCCTCCTCGGACCTGCGCCTGCTCCACCATCCGCCTGTGCCCATGTGCGCACGCGTTCCTTTCCTCGTTATTCCTTGCTTATTTATCTATATATATATATATATATACATTTTTTATTCTTTATTATTTATCCATGCTTTTTGACCGGTTTCCGCCTCTTTTTCCGTGCCCTGCGTCCCTTGCGATTCCACTCTCTTCCCTCCCTCCAATCCGCTCGCGTTTTGAAATTCAAATTTCGAAAATCGGGAGTGGATTGGAGAAGTCTGTTCGCCTCCCCTTCCTCTCTCTCCTTCGCTCGCCCCTCTTCGCCCTATAAATTTCTTTCTTCCCCCTCTCCTTCAACATAATTCACAGATTTCCTCTCTCTACCTCCTCTCTCTAGTTTTCCCTCTTCTCCTTCGCTCGCAACTTTTCCTTCCCCACACGCCTCGCCTCGCTATGGCTTCCTCCCGTCAAATCCCCATCAGCACGAATGCGCCTTCTACCGAGGCGTCTGCCCCTAATCGCGGATCTTCTCCCCCTTCTCCCGAGGCGCCTCCCACTTCCTCTGCACCACCGCAACCCCAGGCGCCCGTTGTTCGCGACGCCACGAATGCCCCTGCAACCCCGGCTACATCGAGTAAGTCTTTCTTCATGCGCCTTCCTTGTTATGCTTGGATCCTTTGCACTCAATTCCTTCAACATGTTTCTCACCGCCAATCATAGGATTCAGGCGCCCCCTTTTTTTAGCATAGAGCTAAAGCGCCCCCTACACACTCCGTCACCTTACACCTTGCCCCTTCCTCTTACTCAGGCGCTCCCGTGTCCCAAGATTACATGTTTCGGCCCTGGGACTCGATGTGGCCTCCCGGCTATGCGCCTCGAAACAGTTACCTGTTGCCCCTAGAAGAGGCCGGCCCACATCACGCCTCAAAACAAATAGGGGTGCGCCTAGAAAAATTGGTCGTATGCGCGCAACTACCTGCGCCCTGGAGATACATCCATGCGCCTCCCGAGGCGCGGATCGGGTTGTGCGGAGAGGGATGGGTGGGCTTATATCAAGAATTCATCCGATTTGGCCTACGCTTCCCCATCGAGCCCGTCCTTGAGGGCGTCATGGTTGCTTGTGCGTGTCCCCTTGCACGCCTTTCTCCTTCCATTATTTTGTCCACCATTGCCTTCCGCTATCAGTGTCGAAGACACAATGTGCCCCCCACCTTTAGACTTTTCAAACACTTTTTTAAAATGATCAGAAGTGCCAACTGTCTGATCTTACAAAGGCGCAAGTTAGGGTACGGGTTCATCAGCAGCTGCCGGAACATGGGGCGCTCGTGGTTTGACTCGTTTTTCTTCGTCAAACCTCGTGAGGTGCCGTTCTTCGAGAGCGGGCGCCCTGTGAGTTCGGAGTGGTCGTTGGGGAACCTCTTTGAATTCAACAAAGTGGAGACTCTAAGCCAGGCTGAGCCAGACATGGCGAGGAGTATATCGGCCCACCCCATTGATCTCGATGCCGGGGATGATTACGCTTATCTTCTCGCCGACTTCTACGGCGACGGTACTGACCATGCGCCTTCTCAGAGGCTATGCGTCTCTTCGTCAGCTATGCGCCTTTGATGTATTTGGACTAACTCGTTTCTTTTCTTGGTACAGGGACTGACTTCACCTCGGTGACGAACCTGATAAAGTCAAAGCTCGACCGCCTCCGCAACGCCAACATTGGCCAAGGCGCTCCCGCGTCCCAGGCGCCTCGTCCGGCCAAGACGCATCCTACGCGGCTAAGGGTGAAAAGACCCGCCGCTGAGGGCACTTCTTCAAGGGGGCGCACTGCCTCGCCTTCTCCGGCCGCTCCCGAAGGGGAGGCGGCTGTTCGTGACTCTCCTGCATCGGATCATCAGGCCTCGTCCGCCTCGGCCTCGCCTTCTCTCTCCACGCCTTGGGACACCGGCGGGGTGAGCACGCCTCCCTCGCCTTCCTCTGCTGGTTCTCGCAAAAGAGCGGGCGTCACCTTGCAAGGCCCGGGAAAAAAAGGCAAGTCCGCCGCCGTGCGTGAGCCGGGTTTGCCCCGCAGCTTTGTGGAGCCCTCCATTGGGCCACACACCGGGGAGGTGATTCCTCCATACCTTCAGTCTAGCGCCCTCTCGTCAAGGTGCCAGTGGACGTGCCCGTCCGGGCGGCCAAAGATGTACCGGCGGCCATGGCCATGGCCAAGGCGCACTATGACGTGATTGAGCATCCGGGTGGCCTGATTTCCGACAAGCCTTGGACGAAGCTGACGAACATGAGCGTCCAGGTAATGAGGCGCATAATACTTCCCTTTACCAATTGAGGGCCTCTTTACTATTTGAATATTTGTGTGCAACTAACTTCTCATATTTCGTTGATGCGCCTCAGATGATGCTCCTCTGCGAGGCCACCACACGTGAGATTGCTTCGATAGCGCGAGAGGGCACAGACGCAGCCATCTCCGCCGAGCGCCTGCAGAAGGACTTGGATGCTGCGAAGTCTGACCTGGATGCCAAGTTGGCGGCTGAGCGCCTCAAGGCACGAACTGAGCTGGAAGGAGAGATCAAGGCCCAGGCCGAGGCGGACAAGGCCGAATGGGAGAAGACGACCTATGAACTCCGAGAAAGGGGCGCTGCGCTCGTTCGGGAGCGGGACGCGTTGCTGGACGAGAAGATCGTGCTGCAACAGGCTGTCGATGACCTGGAGAGGCGCATAAGAAGACCAAGAAGTCTCGGGCGCATTATAAGCGTGAGCTGAAAAAGTCTCAGACCGAGGTGGGGCGCCTGAACCAGGACTTAGCTGACTTTCCCGAATCAGATGCTGGCAAAGATCTCCAAGCCAACGTCGTGATTAGCACTGTTGAGATTCTCCAGGCCAAGTTCCAGGCTGACCATCCAGAGTTGGCCTTTGACAGTATCGCTCTCATCGAGCATGTTGTTAAGGCCATGGAAATCCAGCAGGCAGGCGCCTCGGGTGCTGCTAACGCTCCACCGGAGGGTGATGATGCGCCTGATGGTGGGAGAGGCGGTGTGGCCGTGGAGGCGGAGGAGGATGAGGATGAGGAGGAGATCAGCGCCGAGTAGTTTTTTTTTTTTTTTTTTGAACAAGTGTTTTGTTTTCCTCTTTCAGTTAACGAACCAGCAGTTGGCTTTCTGTCATTTTTTCCTCCCAAGGCGCATTACCTTTGCCTTCGGTTTTTGCCGCTAACGCTACCTAAGGCGCATTAGGTGGGCGTGGTTTAGTGATTTCTACTCGTGCCTGGGCGCATTAGGGGGGGCGCTTCACACTTGTATGAGCAGTAATAACTTATGGGGCGCAATTAGAGGGCGCTTCGAGAATTACTTCATAAAAACTACTCATAACATAGGGCGCAATAGGAAGGGCGCTTTTGTAGGTACCACTTAGCAAGCACAGGGCGCAATTAAGAGGGCGCTTTTGGAATTACTTGAAAGAAAATCACAGGGCGCAATAGAAAGGGCGCTTTTGTAGGTACCACTTGGCAAACACAGGGCGCAATTAAGAGGGCGCTTTTGGAATTACTTCGATAAGAACTACTCATGAACTTCGTACTTGTCCACAAAAACTACTTACAACTTAGGGCGCAATTGGAAGGGCGCTTTTGGAATTACTTAGATAATTGCTTGGATAATTACGGGCGCAACTGGATTGGGGCGCTTCACACACTCGGCCGTCCTGGCTGCCTCCTCCGCAAAATCTGCCCCCTTCTACCCATCCTCGCTACTCGGCCTTACCCCACTAACTCTTCCCCTTCCTTGTTGTGATATACCCGTAGGTTCTGCGGATTCCACGTGCGTTTGATGCTCTTCCCACTCATGCGCTCCAATTTGAACGTTGCCGGTCCCACCACCTCGCGAACCCGGTAGGGCCCCTTCCACTTTGGTGCTAACTTCCCCTCACTGGCCTTGGGGCTGAAATCCCTTTTCAACACCATGCTCCCCTGCCGTATTTGGTGAGGGTGCATCTTCCTATTATAATACCTTGCCACTTGCTGCTTCATAGCCTCTAGGCGGAGGGAAGCGACATCGCGCCGCTCTTCTAGCATGTCAAGGTCGTGCACGCGCTCTCCCTCGTTAGCCAGCGCCTCGTAGCTTGCCATTCTGAAGGTTGGGATGCGCAACTCCACCGGGATGACTGCCTCGCTTCCATACGTGAGTGCGAATGGAGATTCTCCTGTTGCCACCTTGTATGTTGTCCTGTGCGCCCATAGCACGCTCGGGAGCTCCTCAACCCATCTGCCTTTTGCCTCCAGGAGCCTCGTATGCAGCCCGTGAAGAATGCTTTTGTTAGCAGCCTCTGCTTGCCCGTTCGCTTGAGGATAAGCCACGGATGAGAAGCGCAAGATCACCCCCTTCTCGTCACAGAAGTCCACGAACTGCTTGCAATCAAATTGCTTCCCATGGTCGGTCACTATGGCCTCGGGCAACCCAAACCGCGTAAAGATGTTCCTGTTTGTGAACTTACGGACCTGCGCCTGGGTAATGGATGCCAGAGGTTCGGCTTCGATCCATTTGGAGAAGTAGTCAACCGCCACTATCAGGTATCTCATCTGCCCGGGTGCCTTGGGGAACGGTCCTAACAAGTCCATGCCCCATTGGGAGAACGGCTATGCGCCCACATTTCCACGCATAGGCGCTGCGGGAACGTGGATGTCATTGGCATGTATCTGGCATTGATGGCAGCTGGCCACGTGTTTTGTTGCATCCGCCCTGATGGTTGGCAAGTAATACCCTTGTCTCAACAGTACCTTCTCGAGACTGCGCGCTCCTGCATGCATGCCGCACGCCCCCTGATGGACTTCTTCAATTGCCAGCTTCCCTTCTACCTCAGTGAGGCACCTTAGGTAGACACCGGAGTGTGACCGCTTGTACATCTGGCCATCAATTAGCGTGCAACGCGCGGCCTTGCGCCGTACCTGCCATGCGTCCCTGTCGTTTTCCGGAAGGACCCCTTGCACTAAGTATGCCCTGATAGGTGACATCCAGCTCTCACTCTCTTCGGACTCGGTGATTGCTCCTATAACGGATTCACGCACTGAGTGCTCTTTGGTGATGATGACTTGCCGATCCTCCTCGAAGTCGGTCGCCGTGGCAAGCTTGGATAGAGCGTCCGCGTGGGCGTTCTCCTCCCTTGGCACATGTATGAATTCCACCTCCTTAAACCATGCCCCTTTTGCCTTCACCATGGTAACGTAGGTACTCAGGGCCTCCTCCTTAACTTCGTATACGCCGTTCAGCTGATTTACCACCAACGCCGAGTCCGAGCGGAGCTGAACCTTTTGGGCGCCGAGCTCCCGAGCTGTGTGGAGCCCGGCAATCACCGCTTCGTATTCCGCCGCGTTATTGGTCTTCAGGGTTGCGAAACGGAGGGCCAACTCATGCGTCGCCCCCAAGGGGCTCACGACTACCACTCCAGCCCCGGCGCCTGACTTTCTTGCCGCGCCGTCCACATAGACCTGCCAGGCTTCTTCCGCCCCGTTTCCCGCACTTATCACTCCCTCGGCCACAAACTCAGCCAACACTTGCGCCTTTATCGCCGGGCGGGGCGCATAGCTTATATTGTACTCGCTCAGTTGTACTGCCCACTTAACCATGCGCCCGGCCACATCCATGGACCCCAGTGTGCTCCTGATAGACCGTCATTTACACATGTTTTTACCCCCATTCTTACACCGTTTGAGGTGT